CCCACAAAATTACTTTCCTAATATAAAAGGCACCAATAAGGAATTAGAGCTCACATAAAGAAGACAATTCCGTGTATAAAATGACAAAGGTCAATATTCTTTTTATTTCAGTAGTATATTTTTCTTCTCCAAAAGCACAGTAATTATTCTATTCTTACATTTTCCTAGTTGGATCTTTAAGGAATCTTATTGAGATTCTAGCACAGGTGATACATATGCATGGTCAAGAAACATTTCCATATCAATATTCCTTCTGATTAAAGTTTTGGCGATATTATTAGAATTAAACAGCCTAGAAAACGATCATTAGGGAGAAGTCGGGATCTGATTACGACAATCAAAAGAGTTTACGGAGACAGTGTACCCCGACCAACCTGGTATTGAATAGATTTTTGTATTTTTGATTGATGATATCTATGTAGTATTTGGAGACCATGGTTTATTACAAGATGTTGGAATTCCCATGGGTGCCAATTGCTACCCATTTTTAACAGGCCTGTTTTGGTTTTGCTATGGATACTTAAAAAAAAAAAAACAACTATTGCATACAATTTTGCTCGGGAAATTTTCCACATCCTGAGTTAAAAAACTCGGATTATTTATTTTACTCTTTCTTTCTTTTTCTCTCTCTCTCTTTCGACTCTCTTGATCCATTCTATTTTGTTATTATCATGAATACACTGTGTGTTATCTATACAACTGTACATGCCATGTGTATTTCAGACGTGTTCGGTTTAACTGAGAAGTCCCTTTCAAGACTCGAATCTAAGTTTTAACTGATTGTATTGAAAAATCCAGTGAATGATTAAATCAAAATCACGCGGATATAAAATTTTGAATGCTTCATGGAAATTAATGTATTCTAGAAAATTAAACAATTTATCACATGACTGATATGTAGTCAGTTTGTATTTTTGAATTAGTGCATGTTCCTACAGCAGACTCTAACTTTAACACAAAATACATTTATAATCGACAGAGTCAGTAGCATAAATGATAAGTCTAAAACTGTAAAATATGCGGTATTGCCGACTTCATTGTTTAATGCAACCTTATTTAATAAATTCCAGAAATGAATGGCAAACAATGAAAATGTTATGAGGGAAAAGTCAAGGTATTTTTCTTGTTTACATTGTAAATTTTGTTTATCATACGTCCTGTCATGAAAGAAGTTCAATATTGAAGTAAGATATTAAATAGGATTTTTAGAGGCAGACGCGGAACGAATCCGCATTTCTACTTTGAAAAATGAAAAAAGCTGTTTGAACATTTCAGTTTTATTTATCCATTATCGTAGCAAGTACATGTTTATAATTTTGAAATCTAAAATACTTGTAAGGAAACATGATGTAAGCATAAAGAAGAAAGTATGGTTTCCATACAAATTTTGCCCTGTGATTTTCTAAAAAATGAAACTGGTGTAAAATATATAATATATATATTTGTGGTTTTAAATGCTAATTATGACATAAAGTCATTTTCCCGTATTTTCTTAAAAAGTTGCAGTTTTCAAAGGAATTTTCTTTCAGATAACATGGTCTACAGGCATCGTTATGTGATTTGTTATGTTATCAAAAAATTAACGCTTTTCTAAAGGAAAATCACCCTTGAAATGTACAATTTTGAGGCTTTTTCTGTTGAAAAACTCGAACTCCTTCATGCCAATGAGAGTCATTTATTTAACTAATATTTAAGCCAGTTTCAAAACTTTTTGATCATTATTTTTAGGGCGCAATAAAGCTAAAACCGATATTCCAAGAGATATTATATATATTTGTCCCATTTGCAGACAACATAGCTACAGATTTGTTCACATGGAACAACCAGGAGGACCTGTTGGTAGTTGATTACCACAGTAGATACACTACACAAGACAACCAGTCAAGCTGTCGTACAGAAAATGAAGAAGTAGGCTTGGTATTCAACGGAAAGTCGTATCGAAGATTGATCTACAATACGCAAGCCAGGACTTCTCCATATTTGCCCAGAAGTATGACTTTAACAATGCCACTTTCAGTCAAAAGTATCCACAGTCCACTAGGTTAGCGAAGAAAACAATACAGAATACCAAAAAAATCTTTGATAAGAGCAAGGCAGATGAGAAAGTTTATATATAAGACTACTAGAATATAGGACAACGCCTTTAAGCCTATGATACTCGCCTGTCCAACTATTAATGAGTCACAAGTTAAGGTTTATATTTACAGTAGTTCCAGGTGAGCTAAAACCAAAGGTGCCAGTCAGTGTTAAGGAACTGATGGAAGCAGAAAGAAAGAAACAGAAAGATTACTTTGATCTCAGTGTTAAGCCTCTACCATCCCTTCCAGTAGGAGACAATATAAGAAGGGAAACACTGGACACAAGGAATAGTCACCAAAGACGAGGAAGAGATGTCATACGCAGTTAAAAGCACTGAGGGAGCATTATACCGGAGGAACAGACGATATCTGATCCAGTCATAAGAAATATTTGAGCCTGATACACCAGATTTCAATATTGTCAGTTTCTCAGAACCCTCTACTTCACCCTCCAGTCAAGTCTAGTCCTCTGAATTCTGTTGAACCAATCTCGGAACCAGCTATCGGGGCTAAGCATGAGTCTCCTGCTACATGTAACTCCACCCCTTATATATCTCCTTATGATAGAATTGTGAAACCTAAAGCAATTGTGTCGATGTAGATGTTTACATGAGGAAATAGCCCTGTCAAATCAAACATATGTCATCAGATTTTTGGATTTCTACCATCCCAAATGTTCCACTATTGACTTTTTTTTCAAATATCTTTAATTTTTACCCCTGAAATCAACCATTGTGTGGTTTGAAATACAATCACTTGAAATTTTGTATACATACAATTTTGAACCCTTCTTTCTCACAGTAAGCCAAGGAAACTAACTATGTTCAGCCGTGTGCTTCATATTGTTGATTTAAACTTTACTACGATAAGAAGATTTTGTGAAGTGGAAAAAATTGTGTGTATGAGAAAAGATAGTAAAGTAATATTAGTAGAAAAATGGTCAAATCATGCATGTGTGTAAAGATAAGAATTATCAGTCATTGTTCGATAATATTCACAGAGAATGTTGAAGCCGCCATTACGTTGTTCAGGTAAGTTTCACTCTTCTGTCATCTTTTTAAGTAAAAACAGAGGTACTGTGAACACTGGGATCACTAAATGAGGTGCACAATGGTATTATATAATGAAGAATCTGTGAAGGTATCAGAAAATTGTATTTAGCGGTATAGGAGGAGTTACGGATAAGAGATAGGTGCCCTTCATTATCATACAAAAACGGCAGCGTCAATGTTTTAATATGAGAAACTCAAAATATGTTTCCGATCAAGAAGTAAAATAGGAGGTGAAAATGGCACCTTCTAAACAAAGAATCTGTGAAAGTGGCATTAAATTTCATTCAGTGGTACATGTATAGGAAGAGTTGTGGATAAGAGATAGGTACACCAATGCTTATCAGACAGACAGACAGACGGATATCCTAATCACTATATACTCTCCAAGTTTTCAAGCAGGGGGTATTAGCATAATAATGTTAGACAGTTTAGTATGCAGTATTTTTCATAATATTTTTCTACCATTATTTATCTATCAATTTTTAAAACAAATGATTCGAAGAGTAATGAGATACATACTTGTTAACAATCATAAGCTGATGCTAGTGTTTTCTGAGGTATTTTTAATTCTATCATAACTTTGTATATAATGCTACTTTGACTTTTAAGGATTTTCTCTTTCGTTCTGAACTGCATTGTTATGCATTTTTTTTGTAAAGAAATATGAGTAATCTAAGGTTAGCCTGTCAAAGATACACGTCAAATTACATATCAAAATCTTCTCAAGTGTAATGTACTTGAATTTTAGGTTACTCAAAATAACTTGTTGTTTAGGGAACAAAAGTTCAAGTAACCATGATCCATTTTATTTGAACGAGATTTTTCAGCAAAAATTTCTGTTTTCTTTAATTCCTGTAATGTCTTTTTTAAAACCCGTTAAAATAGTACATTTTTAAAAGTATTAAATTATAATTAAAAAGTCAATTTTTACAATATACTTTTTTATATCCATTATCCATTTAAAGATATTCCATTTCCTCCGATTTTCATTCCTTTTTAAGCTATAGGAACTTAAAGAAAATATGTTGCCTTGTTTTCACAACAGTATACGATTTAAATTTCCAAACATTTCTGCTGGTCAATCTAAAATTAGTTCACGAAATCTGAGTTAAGCAGGAAGTTATGGCTTGGTTTATGTCCTTTTGTATGCATTCTATTTTCTTTTATCACTCAAAAGCAATGAAAACTTGAAGAGAATAATGTCCTTGCTTTTTTCAGGTTGTGCAATTTGAAAAATTATCTGAAATTTCTAAGGATAAACTTAGTTATGAATTATGGACATTCAAAAAAGAAATAAAAGAAAATAAGAAAAGCACACAACAATTTTAGAAATAAATCTATGTAGATTTAGAAGCAAACTAATGTTTTATTTCCTTACTTGTATTTTACAGAATCGTTATGAAGAAACCACAATTCGTCTTACAGTCTTCTCTTTTTTCGACCCTTACATCTATGTTTACCTTAGCACAAACTAGTAAGTAAATGCATTATGCACACAATTTAGCAAAATATCAATCTGAGATTTTTGTTTATTTTGTAACAAATGCCAATTGGGTTTTTTCACTTGCGTAAATGATTTGTTTATAAGAATTACATTTTTAGAAGTTTTAACTCCTATTAGATAAAAAAAATTGCAAAAAATTAATTTTAACCTTACAATTAAATATTTTTTCTTTTCCAGTGATATCACCCTCAAAATTAAACTACGTAGAAGTTAATAGTTCACTGCCAATATCTTGTTCCCTTGGATCATCTAACGCATCCATTTATGATTTACATTTAAATAAATGTTTACCACAAGTTGGTTGTGAACGATTGGAACCATTTAGTCTCAATGACAACACCAAAGTCTATTTACAAAATTTCAACATTGTTACCGGGTCATTTATTGAATATATTTGTGTTACTACCTCAAGTAACTTAGAAGACTCATCATTTTTGGAAGTCATGGTTGGTTGTAAGTATTATGTTTGTATTAGATTAATATGCACAGCATGTACATACATCTTTTGGGTTTAATCCAAACAACATTGAATCTTGATAAAACAAGAAAATTTACTAAATAAAAAGTCATCAAAAATATAAAATATTAAAAGGTCTTGAATCAAATTTAGATTATAGCAATTCAAACCCAGTCTAAAATGATAACAGTCTGAGAGCTGTTCTAAAAGTTACTGAGTGTAACTGTAACTAACAAGTCTGCAGGATTTCATAAAGTCGGAGTGTTTAACAATGATCAACTTTTTTTTTTTGCATGGAATTTTCAAAGTATTAAGATTCAACTAATTACGTATCATCTCGGTGAAAAGCAGTCAACATGCGGTGGATTGACCATTTTCCCAGAACAATTAACAATTTTTAGACTTTTTTGTAATTTCAAATCGCAACCTCAACACAAGTTGTATTTTGAAACACTGATGTTCCCGATGGCAGATGTTGGTGACAGTTAAAGTTTCTCCATTGAAAGTTGAGAATCCAAGGTCAATAGATCACAATTGTTATTACCCAAAAAATTTATTTAGGTTATTTGACTGGTGTAACTATTGATCAAATTTCTTGTTCTTTCTTTTTTCAGATAAACCTCAATTACCAGAAGAATTAAACTGTGTGTCAATTGATAGGAATAATTTACATTGCACATGGAAAGTACCTAAAAACAATATTGATAACTCAGTTGAATCATACTGGACAGTAACCTTTACAGATGGGTAAATAATCATTCTGTCTCCAATTAAACTATTAGCCTAAATTCATAGGCAACCTTTTACTGCATATGAAAACTCAGAAGAATCCTTTGTATCTATTAAAAAATATTACTTCGATGTAATATGCAAAATTGATTGAAATTGACAATATCCTCGATCAAAAGTTAGTTAATCAATGTTGATATAAATGTGTAAAATTTTTGAAATTTCCTTACATATAACATTTACAGGTCGGCGGGGGGGGGGGGTTATAAAAATTTGCTAGAATAATTATACAATTCACCATAAAACACACAAAAACCCATTGTAACATGAATATATATTGACAATTTAAGGATAAACTCGGCTAAAATGGTATTTCTCTTTTTCAAAATTTATTGATTGTATGTTGTTTAATGTCCCTCTCGTGTATTTTTCACTCATATGGAGACTTGCCGGTGGAGAGCTATAAATTTTGTCCTGTACTCGGTACTTAGGGCCATTGAGCAGTGAGGGATCTTGATCGTGCCAGCAGCAACTGCAACACGGGGCCTCGGTTTATACGAACTCATCCGAAGGACCGGTCTCCATGTCCCACTGTTGGATTCTTCCAAAATTTAGAAAGCTTACGTCTCTTTAGATATATGTTTCAATTATTATTTTAACTGAAATGTATACTTGTGTGTTACAATTGTTAGAAATTACTCAGGCATTAACCGAATTTCCATTTACAGTAATTTTTATCATTGTTGACTCCAGAATCTGCATGGATATTAATGGAATATTTTCCTCATAAGAATTTTACATTGTATATTATTAAAAAAAATTAAAATTGAGTAAGTCATTTAAATTTTTTTTTAACTTACACCCGACCAATGATCCCCTCCGCACTTCCAATCTCTCAGCTTCCTTTTTCCAATATGCTTAAATGTATATAATTTTTTATTTTCAAAATGATTTGAGTTTTGATTTAAATATGTTTGCAGAAAAATATTATACACAATTATTGATATAAAAATATATTTAAGAAAGAAAAAAAAAACAAATTCATTATTTATTGTTATCACAATTTAAACTGTTTTTAAAGGGTATGTGTACTTTTTAAAATTTCAAACAGGACTTTTGCATACAGACCCTGCCCTGAAAATCTTTCAACAAAATATGGGGGACACTACTTCATCACAGGATGCAATTTACATTCAGTTGATGATCAGAATGTTAACGTACATTTTTGGGACAAATTTAATCCATCATCAAATTATACCATGAATATAACACTGAAAAATAAAATTGGAGTGGCTAGTCGTATCTACAACATAACAATCCCTAGAATAGGTAACCTTCAGTGCAAAAAATACCATTCTATGATTTCCTTTTCATCTTCTTTAAAAACAATTAATTTCAGAATTTTAAAAATAAATTTCAAATATCTCTGTTTTTTACATTTAAAAAATTTATTGATGTATAAGCACACATACTTTTCCCTTACATTTCAGTGAAACTATCTTATCCTTTTGTATCAATTAAACCATCTATCAACGCACTAGAACTACTTCTGAATCTACCTGAGGATTATACTAGTAATTACATTCCAGAGATTGATGATATCGTTATTTACAGAATAACATACCGAGCTTCATGGAAAAGCAGTCGAAGAACGGTAATTTTAGCTATTCTCTTTGTTATTTTCTATGTATACAGAAATATATTGGGTATATGAACAAAGCAAAGTCCTTCATCATTTTCTTTTTACTAAGACACCCCACTTATTTTACAAATATAGTCTTATTTTCAATTTGAGCTTGTCAGAAAATTAACTGTTATATTATTTTCAAGGACAAAATCAAAGACAATGTAATAATCAGAAAAAATAAATCTTTTTAGTTGAATATGAAATGTGTTTCACTCGTGAGGCGACATTTTTGGATATTTTAACTCCTGTTTTGTACACGTGAAAATTTATCTTTAAAAAATCCTGTTCCACTCGAGAAATAAATTCCATATCCAATCACAAATCATTGAAAATCTTCTTTATTTGCATTCGTAATATACATGAAAAGAAAAGTTATTAAAAGAAATTATTTAGCAATGTATCAAAATATTTCGATCCATATTTATAAGGATATTGCATCACAATTCTAGTCATTAATGCGTGCGTATTCAAGATTTCAAGATCTACAAAATGGCGATTTTTTCTCATGTAGATAACATTTACTAGTAGGAATACAAGTGTATCTACAACATTACGGGATTGTATTCCTTTCACTAACTACGAAATACAAATAACAACAAGACCAGAAAGTTCTTTATATTGGAGTGACGTCTTAACCAAACAAATTCGAACCAATCCTGATGGTAAATTCATTATTTTTCTATTGTAATCATTCAATAAAATATATATTACCTTTGATTCAAATTTGATATTCAAAGTAAATATTATTATTTTTTTCAGTCTTTATGATTTATATCGATGTATAAGAATCAAACTCTGTGGAAGATTTACACATAAATAACTTAATGAATTTTATTTTTAGTCCCCTACTGGGCGCCTGAAACATCGCCAGGTCTGTACTATGTTCATAAGCAGACTGGACTTACTGTTTTTCACAAGGTAAACTCCATAGTAGTCATACGATGGAATCATTGCTAATCTTAAGCTCTCTTTCATTTCTATCTATCTACTAGTGAATGATCTAATGGATAAGCAAATACAGTAGTAAGCATTGGAAATTTTCAAACCTTCGCTTCGATGAAATTGCAAAGAATTGAATAGGAAACAAGCAAAATCAGGTGGTATCTGATCTTTCAAAAAGGATGTTAGAGCAAACGAGACGCCAGTTGCGTACAATTATGGTCAACTTAGCAAATTGATTGATTACATTATAGAACCAACAAAACTAGACTGTTATTTATTAAATATACTTTTGATAATGTTTCTTAATTAATGATCATAATTAATTTAGCGAAATTCGTTTTAGTTCCATATTGGGCGCCTGATACATCAGCAGGCCTATACTATGTTCATAATCAGACTGGGCTTATTGTGTTTCACAAGGTAAATTTCGTGAAATTGATAAAAATTATTATGTAATTTAATTTCATTGTTTCTAATGATATGCCAATCTTATGAAATCTTAACAAACAAAAAAATATTCCCACACAATGCATATTTTTCAGAAAGTTTTTAAAAAGCTGCATATTATTTTTTGTTATACACACTTAGGATTTAATTGATAATTGATTCAAAAAAATCACTCCAAAGTGTATATTCTTTTTAAAAATCTTGCTTGTGATTTTTTTTCATGATAACACACAAAAAAATTTTGTATAGCATTAAAAATCACTATAATTAATGTAAAAAGCTTATATAAATTAATATTTTCTTTAAAAATTTTTGATTAAATTTTCGTTTAAAATTTCAGCCATTAAAGGAAATATATTGGAATGCAGAGGACTGTGGCGTTCATGTGGTCATCTCAGATGAATTGAGCAATACAATATGGACGGGAAACTTCTCCTCTGAGGAATCATCTTTAACGATACCCATTGATATATCTGATTCTAACTATACTGCTACACTAACATATATTAATAATGCTGGGCCTTCTGAAAATGCGTCAATTCTTTTAATAAACGAAAAAGGTAAGATTTTTTTTTTGTTTATATTTAATTTTTATTTAAATGTAGTTATCTAGTATAAAAATCATGCCTACTTTTTTTTGATTAACATTAGCTTTTTAAAAAAAATAGAAAATGGATTATTTGTGATGGTTGAAGAAATTAAAACAAATGGTTACTGGATCACTTGGGAGATGGATGACGTCACACCTATAACGTCCGTGACAATAATGTGGTGTACACAGAAAACTCAAAATCCAAAAACGTGTGAGGTACAGAAAAATTGATTTGTAAAGATGATCATTTTTATCGGCTTATTATTAATTATTATTATTTTATGGAATTAATTGTTGAACATGAAATACTATTTCAAATCATTTAATATCATTCGCTATATTAACCTTTTGAGAAATTTTTTACTTTCCATTTTTTCTTTATCAAAATAAAAATCCTCTGTTAAAAGTATAAAAAAAAATTGATAAATTAGAAGTTAAGGAAGATAACAAAAGTTGTTTCCATTTTCTTTTCCACAAACTAATTTTTTCAGTAATCAATTGTCATATTCATCTTATTTAAATAAAGATAATCTTTATATAGGATGACATTGAGTGGAGAGATTTCCAGAGGCCTGGGAATGGTGTACATCTAACAGACATAGCACACAACAAATATTTGATATTTGGGGTCTCTGTGCAATTCGAAAATTTGACCTCATCTGGACTAACATTTGCAACATGTTATTATCGATTGCTTTATTCTCAGCGTGGTAGGTATAGAGAGTAAGCTTTATTATATAATGTTCCTATTGATACTAAGATTTTATTTCGTGTAACCATGTTTTGTTTCATCATGACATTTTCACTAAATTTTACTTTTTTAATAATTTTGAGATCGACCACGGTTTGTTAGTTTTACCTTTATTTAAAAATATATATATGTTAAATTCCTACATAGAATTTCCTTCCCAATTTTTTTTAGTATTTAAAAAATTTATTATTTTATGGATATAAAATTTTATTCAAAATAGCAATTCGAATGAATTTTTGATAATAATTTTCATCGAATGATTTCTTTAAGAATAGACACCTTTTACTGACGAAGTTTAAATTTTTGCATTTCAGATTTCAAATTAGCTTTTAGTGCCAGACATTTGCAGAGGAACGGTCACCAACAACTGCTAGTTGACCTTGTATCATCTGTGTGTCAATATCAGAGCAGACCAATAACTTACCAAGTCTTTTATAATAAACATAGAAATGTGAACATAAGTTGTCCAAATGGTAAGTTGTATTTCGTGTCTCACCCACCCTTTTTACGCAAAATACCATTTAAGGTATCCTTGATATAAACAAACAGAGCAAGTTGCTAGCATTTATAGTGAAAGGACGTTTTTTACAGTGGATAATTGTAAATGTTTTTCTCAAAGTTGCTTGCGTATGCTTAAGTATTAAATTATTGTTTATTGATTTTCTTTCAGATTTTTCATTGAACAGAACAGAAAATGTCACACACAATGTAAAAGATATATCGTTAACAAATATAAGTCCTGAAGGGCAATATGATATTTGTCTGGCAGTAACTCTAGCAAACAACAACACGGTGTATAGCGAAATTCAAACCGTCGGATTTCAAGGTAAAAAAAAAAGGATTGAAAGAGAATTAAAAATTGTGAGTCTTAACTTGTATTTAAAGTTAATGCATGTACTTGCTTTATATACTACCTTTTATTTTTTTATTCAAAATTAAAATTAAAATTAAATAGTCATGACCCCCCTCAATGTTTATAAACTTCTTTTTTATGCTATCAGAGAGTGATATTATTGCTGACGATGAAACAATTACAGTTGCCATTCTTGTGTCCATCTTAGCAGTGTTTATAATGTAAGTGACAGTGGTATGTTATACAAAAGAGAGCATCCTTTTTTTTTTACAAAAGAAATCAAGGATACGAAGGAATTAATAACAATTTCCTTAAATTAATCTTTTAGCATATAATGCAAAGTGATTTATCTGTTTTAGATTTTGAAGGGTTATTATATTTTCAGTGCATCATGCGTATACTTAGATATTTCAAATCTGCATCGAATAGACATTTGCCAAAGTTCATATTTGATATGTAAATATAGAAATATCACAACGCAATTTTCTACATTCATTTAAATTGTAAAAGTCTGAATACTGTTCTAAAATTTCATTCAATATTCTTGAAGTACCTTTTTTTACTTTTTCTACAGAATAATCATGGCGTACTGTATTAAGCGAAAATGTACTTTTGAAAAACCTGACATCAAGATGCCGGACATAGAATCATATGTGGTACGATCTTTTCAATCACTTCTTCCATACTAATTCTATTTAAAATGCATTTCGCTTTTCAATTTCTCAAAAACATTTGACTTTTATGAACAGCCCCTATCCTCAGAGGATACTGTAAGTAAAGCCGTTGCACTGATAGAACTTCTCTTTTCGACATCTTTTTTCTCCCTTAGTTATATTTACTTTTTAACGATTGGTTCTTTCTAACTTTTGACTCTTTTTTGTAGTACAGATTAAGGCATGCTTTATTACCTCTTATTAGCTCTATCTACTAGTGATTTATCGTGTTATCAAGGAATTTTTCTCACTTTTACAACAGTTAATATTTCACTTTGAATAACATTTATTTATGCACATTATATCTTGCAAAAGTGCTCTAATTAATGTCTCCTTGATTTGTACATGTATATATATATAATTAATCACGAACTATATAAGAATTTAAAATGAACATGCTAACAATATGTAGGACTCGCAAGTTAACAACAGCATCAATAAACATTTTGAAAAAAAACATGATCTTCATAAGCAGGTCGCTACCATAATATTCAGACTTTTTTTTAGATGTGTTTATAAATTTTACTTTTGATATGGTAAAATTAATCATAAAATTGATTTCTAAATATATTTTGTAGAATCCAGGATATAATAATGGACTTTCAGATGAAGAAAAGGAAATACGTGTAAGTAAACAAATATGATTTGGGGTGGTTAAATAAAATTTTGTTGTATAATTATTTTGTACAAAAAGATGCGAAACATGAGATAAAATTTACTACGATTAGTAAAAAAAAATATTTTGATAAACTTTATGAACTTATCAATGATAAATAAGGGTGTAATCTTATCTTTTCTCTGATTAACCTTAGAATTACTGATCTTTTCTCTCATCCTTAAAATGACACTCTTTCTTTTTCTTATTTGCCGATATCTCATTATAACAAGTCAACTTGTTAATAGAAAATTTTAAAACGAACAAGAATGAAATTTGTTAAAATCTGATCGTTTAGAAACTTTTTCAATAATTCAGAGTTAAAGAGGGCGGTTTTTTAAAATTCATTGACTCATATTCTTAGATGTAATTTTTATCTACAGAAACTTTCAATCAATTTACTGGAAAATGTTATATTTGGTGTTTCATTTATATCTCATGATGTTTAAATTATTTCTTTTAGGAAATGGGTGACAGTGGTACTCATAGTTCCCCGGAATCCGTTTCTTCTGAAGAACAAGGACCGGAAGTTGATAGAGATAGTGTCAGCAGTAGTGGCATTGGGTCAACAAAATGTGAATCCGATGTCTTCTCAGCGCCTACTACACCGACTGACTCCGACAAACAAACACTTATATTCAAGATGATGTTAAAGAAACCCAAGCAAACACACTCGGAACTCACAACGTGCAATGTGTCAATAATGCCAGGAGAAGAAAAGACGAAAGTAAATCACACCTCAGAATTACCTCATATTTCTAGTAGCTGTTCGAGTCCTATTGACAGTTATAGTAGAGTGGAGCAGGAAGGTAGCGGTGCATTATATGATATGATTGATGATGACTCGGGGGATATCTCAGGAGGGTATAGACATGTGATGTGTTCTAATTACACTTCAACTTGTGCTTCTGATTGTGAAAATCTAGACACATGTCCTCCTACTCCAGAACTTGAGAGACAAAGTAATTCCTGTGATAGTGACGCGATTGTAGATACTTCTCGAACACTTTCAATAGGAAGTGACTGTTCGCAAAGTACAGTTCCCTATGTTACAGGTTTTGAGATGGATTCCTATGGGGAAAATGTGATAAATAGCTGTACGGATTGAAGTTAAGAGAGCGAGTTTGCAATAACATTAAAAGAATAACTAAAATTGCATTGTCAGAAATAAATCATTCAAGGAAAAATATCCAGCAGCTGTGAAAAAAGGCTGAATGATGATATCTACATGCAATTTTGTGCTGTACTCAGGAAAACATCGAATGAATTGTCTAATTAGTGTTTCAGGCACTTTTGCACAAATACACTCAGGGACTCTTTAACTGAAATCTAAATCTAATTAGTGTACATAGACATACATTATTTCAAAATGAAGAGATCATTTTTGTACATCTAATTCAAAAGAATAATTGGAAACAGGTTTAGTATATTTAAGGCAGGAAAAATGCATTTCGTAGGAGCATGATCAGATGACACCTCATGTGTTCACATAGGAGAGGCACGATCATATGAGGTTACACCTCATGTGTTCACATAGAAGAGGTATTCAGATGAAGATAGGCCTCTTAGGTTCACTTAAGAGAGTTTTTTTTTAGATGAGGTTACACTAAGACTGTTTACACAGGAAAGGTATTCAGTTAAGGTTAGTTTTTCTGAAGATGTAACTTCTCGTTTGTTAACAAATGAGAGGTATCAGACGAGGTTACCGCTGGTCTTTTCATACAGGAGATTAAATCAGATGAAGACAGGCCTCGTATGTTCACATGGAAGAGGTATTCAGATGAGGTTACACTTAGATTGTTTACATAGGAAAGTGTCCAGTTGAGGTTAGTTGTTCTGTAGATGAAACATCTCTTCTGTTCGCAAGGGAATGGTATCAGATGAGTTTACCCCTCGTCTTCTCACAAAGGACTGGAGAGGTATTCAGATTAGGTTAGTTATTCAGATGAGGTTATTTATTTAGATGAGGTTAGTTATTTAGATGAGGTAAGATAGACTGTACGATGATTCAGATGAGAAATTCACATGTTAGAGGTAATATCTCAAATCAGATGTATTCAGATGAGATTTGTTATGAAGATGAGATTACACCTTGTCTGTTCACACAAGAAAGATATTCAGATGTTAGTTTTTATGCTTAGGTAACATCTCACAACAGATATACTCAGATGAGATTTGTTATTAATTAAGATGGGGTTACTTTTTGTCTGTCCACATAGGAGAAGTATTCAGGTTCAATTATACCTCATCATATGATCATTTTGCATTTGACATTTGATTTATGTTTGTAAATGCACGAGTTTGGTACTCAGAAGAAAATAAAAATGAACAGAGTTTCTTTTCAAAAAAATTAATTTCAAATTTTATCGTGTTATTTCACGATACAGTATGGAAATATTCAAATAGTTAGATAAATACAACTTTTTTAACAACTTGGTAAGTATATTTTAATAAAACTTATGAAAATGTTATTTTTTAAATACTTTGTTAATTGTGTTCAAGATGTGAAAGATTTTACGATCTCATTTACATTTATTTTGGTTAACTATATAAACATATGTTTTTGGCATAATTCTATTGAGCTTTTTCATGTATTAACATTTTCTTACATTTATGACAATCGTGAAGGAAATTATTTGTCAAGATACACTAATAAGTATTATGTATTATGTTCAATTCTGTTTGAATGGCAAGGATTTTTACAGAAGTAAATGTAAAATTAATCACCTTTTCTTTTATTTAGTCACAAATATTTTATCTAATGAATATTTATGTACAATAAGCATGTTTTCGTTACTTTAAAATATGCTACTGAACATTACTTTGATTTTGTGATGAGTTGTCTTGAGAAAATGAATATTTCCCTTTTGTTTTTCTGTTGAAATAGTATTTCTTTTATTTAAACCCATCAGTATAAACCTTCTTAAACCTCATCCATTCAAAAATATATCTTGTTTTTTCCCCTTAATATGCATCATAGATTGTTTAATAACTCTTAATATCCCATTCTTTATTCACATACTTTTGATAATTCAAAACATGAATGTCTGTTTATCTTATCCTTGATGTTGAACAAAAGTTATGAATAAAATGTTTTTCATTTAGCAAGGTGTTTGTACTTGTATTGACATCTTAAATTCTTAAGTAAATATGCTCACATTAAAACACAATTAAGAAACATCTTTCATCATACAAAATTCACATATTTCCAATTTTCTATTTCGATGCATTGCCTTTAATCAGCAAGCATTTTATGTAAATAGTATATTCCTGTATGTAAGTTGACCCTGTTTAATATTAATTTTACGATGAACTAAATTGCAGATAAAACACATCAAAATAATTTTAGATGTCAGAATTGGTCGTAGTATAATTATATATAAAGTTATCATTATAAGGTGTGGACTTTGCTTAATTTCTTCCAAACCTTTGGGGTTCATCAAAAGTCTTCATAGCAAACAATCTAGCATTCTTATGTCAATAAGATATATCTTTGTGAGTATGCAAAAGAGTCTGACACATCTGTTTCATATTTGGATATTTTACTTGAAAAAGACGTTAATGGTAGTCTAACAACCAAACTCTATGATAAACGTGATAACTTTAACACTTTTCTATCGTCAACTTCCCTTACTTATGCAGCAATATACCTTCATCACCTGCATGCGTAGTTTATGTATCTCAGTTGATTCGATAGGCAAGAGCATCCTCTATATATGAACGATATCTAAATCGAGGTAAATTTTTGACAAACAACGTGTTGATGAAACAAGCATTTTAGCAGTCTCGTTTAAAGTCATCATTTCGTAAGTTCTATTGTCAATACATTGACCTTGTCAGCAAATATACTTTATCATTAGGTTAAATGCTGACTGACGTTTTTCATACTAATTGTTACATGTAGTCCAATCTTTATTCACTGAATTGACATTGACCTTGTCAGCAAATACACTTTATCATTAGATTAAATGCTGACTGACGTTTTCATACTAATTGTTACATGTACTTAGTCCATTCTTTATTCACTGAATTGACGATGGTTATTTCCGTTATTTCCCTATCATGACAAGGAGCACACGGCGGATGTGACCGGTCAGCAGGGGATGCACACCCCTTCCTGGCACCTGATCCAGCCTCTGATGTTTTGGAGGTCAGTGTTTTGAATACATTACTATATTACTATGTACTACACTAGTAAGTAAAAAATCAAGATCACTTAGGCAGTGTTAAGTATCATTCTAAGTGCGATAAAATTTTATTGAAAACGAGATAGAACATTCATCAAAACATTTTTAAACAGTTATTGTGGTGAATGAATTTTATTTATGTATATGTATATTGCAATTTACTAGTATTTGATTTTAATTTTCGATTCAACATATTTTTTTCCCTTAAAAAAGATTTTGAAATAATGACTTTATACCAAATAGTAGCTTAAAATATAAATTATGCAAAGTATTCCAAGTATCCAATAATTTCAAATAAGACGGAATTCTTTTTTTTTGAATTTGTTGGATATTTTTTTTACACCTACGTTTTATATTATATAAACATATATACATATGATATGCTTTTTTTGTTTTGCTTTTGAGACCAATATATAAATCTAACGTTACACCGTTTAGCTGTTGTGTGACTCAACTGCGGATTTTTCAGCCATTGGTTCTGATTTCCAATCAATAGCAACCTCCTGTTGGGAGACCAGCGACTGAGATCTGCCTGATACAGGCTGTGAAGGAGAAGAAAAAAAACTTAAAGAGGAAGTTTACCTAGGATAAAAACAGGAGTGAGATGTATACAGAGAAAAAAGGTACAGTAGCTCATGTTATGTTTGTTGGTGTACTGGATATTAAGGCCAGGATTTGTCGTCAAACTGATCATTGTTTATACTGCTTATTGTGAAGAGTGTCAAACAAATGAAAGTGTTATTAGAGTATGAGACATTTTTTATGTTTTGGTTTTTAAGAGTTAGGAATTTTAAGATATCTTAATTTGTTAAGTCCTTTGTTTTTTTTTTTAGACTATTTACTTCAACACTCATTTTTTTCAAAGTTCTTTATGTTAAAGAAATAGTTAGTTGAGTCGTTGTAATAATACAAATCCCAACCAATAACATTCAATATGATTATGTCTATCACTTCCTTCCTAATATAAATGAAATATGGATACACAAAATCGAATACATGTGTATATTTTTCAGAGCACCTGAATTGAACAGGTATGTAGAAAAACTAATTCAATTTAATCATTTTAGCTTTCTTGGTCCACTTTATTTGATCAACAATCTAATGAATAGCACTTTAATGATGTCCACAAGTCTTCTGTTTAATTTCATTTAACGGTGGCTAGATTTAATGAAAGTGTAAAACGATCAATATAATATGCCTTTCAGAAGCACAATGGCAACCGTTCATGTTCATCTCAATTCGTCAGATCCAGATTTACTTCGAAAATTAAATAACTCCTTGATTATTGAGATTAAAGGAGAAACTGTGACGTTCAAGGACAGCAATCTTAATGAGCTACTTTACGTAGTCGTGGTGATCATGTTCTATGGCACAGCGTTAATGGTTCTCATAGCAACCCAGATCCGGAAGCAGCGCAGAGAAGGACAGGAAGTGGATTATTATGATGAATACCTGGAGAGAAACAATGAAGACAGCAAGAAGACACTGTTACCAAAAATAGACCTTAAGGTTAATATTCCTTTGGAAGCGGATGAAATTAAGGCAGAAAATAAAAGTCCTTCAGTAAAACCCCTGAAAATTTAGTACAGTTTCATAAAACAGGGTTAATTTATGTTTGTATGCAACAATGCACCAGTGTTTATATATTTAAATTGATTTATGTTGGAAACATACTATGAACATTTTTGATTATTTAGATATATTTATAATATTCATGATTTTAAAATACATTGTTAATTAATCATAGGTGCATCTACATTAAAGTACATAGAATATTATACATTTTATTCATCTTAATTTTAATTTTTTTTTTGCAATTGTTATAGTTTGATAAATGCTTACACTTAATCGCAATGTGAATTTTGAATAATCAAAATTTAGAAAACTTTAATTAAAAGATCTGAATAATTTAAAAGTGTTTGAAAAAGAAAACAAATATGCTTTAAATATATTACTTTAATTAACCCGAAGCTTATCATTCTACATAAACTCTACAAAATGGGGAACATTTACATTTTCTTTTTGCGATACCATTTACGGTAGATTGGCATCTTGCATGTCTTTTGCGATTAATATAATATTTAATTATACACTATATCATCTCTGATCCCCCAAGGGTTTAGTATGATGGAATTTCGATAAAACGTTGACACACTCAGGAAGGGAAATATCATTGAACAGAAAATAAACGACGACCATTGCGTCACCTTGGGGAACACATTTTTCAGGAAATATGTCAATTTATCTTGTAATTCCATTTTCAGAAACTGGTAGAATTTCAACTTCAGCCAAAAATCAATGAATACATCATTTATACTTTATAAAACTGTGAAAAAAATATGTGAGCATAAATATTTCATGTTTGAACATGAAATAAACTTGATAATATGAAGTTCATATTATTTCTATGCATCTATAAATGAAAATTACTTATTTTGCCTTTTTTTAAAAAGACAAGTTTAGTCATTTGTGTTTTTCAAAAATTACAAACATGCCAAATCTATTTTTTCAATGTTAAAGAAACATGACTTGAATTTCTTACAAAGTAACATGTACCAAAAGCTAATTGTAATCTTTTACCTTTAGTTATATAAATATGTTTTTTTAAATGTTTAAAGTACCGGTAACTCAGTTAAATCTATCATATTTTGTTCGATTACGTGTTTTATTGCATATGAGTTTTTTTTATAGCTTAAAAGGAGTAAGCAGTTTGTGATATCTAGATTTTTTTTCTAAATAGTGGTTGATCATATATGCTAATTTTAAACCAGTTGTTAAAATTATAATCACACGGAATGTGGCTTTCTCTTTTAGTTTAACGTTTAAACGCGAATTTTTTTCCCAAAAAATTAAAAAAGATATATATATATATATATATATATATATATATATATATATATATATATATATATATATATATATATATATATATGGATTGCTAGGAGACAGATTCCGAAGGTCGAGAGTTCAACCCCGGGCTGGGGCGGAAGTGGGTATCCATGAAAAAAGTGAATTTCTTTGTGCTTTCTGTATTAATATTTCTTCACTTAGGGCAGTTATGTTAGTTTAAGAGTTGTTGTAAAATGTGCTTTATAAATAATAATTAATTTCATTACAACATGTATTGGTAACAATCCTCTGTTAAAACTAATGTCCAAATAACTGTATCCTACTTCTATTCTCAATGACCGTGTAGTGTAGGGCAGCGCCGCCAATAGGTGTTTAATTTCCATCGGCATCGAAAGCAAGTTTTTACTTGCCTAGATAGCCGAGCGGTTGA